AAAGAAAGAGAACTACAGGCCAATATCTTTGATGAACATAGATGCTAAAACCATCATAAGATCCTAGCAAACCGGATTCAACAACACATCTCAAAAATCTTACATCATGATCAAGTAGGCTTCATACCTGGGATGCAAGGCTGGTTCAACATTCATAAAACCATAAATGTAATTAAATACATCAACAGATGACAAAACAAAAACCACATGATTATATCATTAGATGCAGAAAAAGCTTTTGATAAAATCCAGCACCTCTTCTTGATAAAAACGATCAAACATCTAGGCATACGGGGAACATACCTCAAAAGAGTAAAAGCCATCTATGAGAAACCCACAGCCAGCATACTCATAAATGAACAAAAATTGGAAACATTTCCCCTGAAAACTGGAATAAGACAAGGATGCCCACTCTCATCCCTCCTGTTCAATGTAGTATTGGAAGTCCTAGCTACAGCAATCAGACAAGAGAAGGCAATCAGGGGTATCCAAATAGGAAAAGAGAAAGTAAAGTTATCTCTCTTTGCAGATGACATGATTGTGTACCTTGAAAACCCAAGAGAATCTGTCAAAAACCTCCTTACACTGATAAAGGACTTTGGCAAAGTCTCAGGATATAAAATAAATGTACAAAAGACAATCGCATTTCTTTACACCAATAATAAACAAACAGAAACCGAAATAAAAAGCACAATTCCATTCACAATAGCCACAAAAAAATGAAATACCTTGGCATCTTCCTAACCAGAGATGTGAAAGACCTTTACAATGAAAACTACAAAACACTGCTCAAAGAAATCAAAGATGACACAAACAATGGGAAAAATATCCCATGCTCATGGATTGGAAGAATCAACATTGTGAAGATGTCCATCTTACCTAAGGCAATCTACAGATTTAGTGCAACACCCATCAAATTACCAGCAACATTCTTCTCAGACCTAGAAAAAACAATACAGGAATTCATATGGAAACACAAACGACCAAGAATAGCCAGAAAAATCCTCAGCCAAAAAAAAACAAAGCAGGCGGTATCACGTTACTAGACTTCAAACTTTACTATAAAGTGACAATCATCAAAACAGCTTGGTATTGGTACAAAAACAGGCATATGGACCAATGGAATAGAATTGAGATTCCAGAAACTAAACCTCAATTTCTCAACCAACTCATCTTCGACAAAGCCTCCACCACCTACCACTGGGGAGAGGAGAACCTATTCAGTAAATGGTGCTGAGAAAACTGGCTGACCACATGCAGAAGACCCAAATAAGACCCCTATCTGTCCCCAGGCACAAAAATTAACTCTAAATGAATCAGAGACCTAAATGTAAAACCTCAAACCACAAAAACCTTAGAAAATGAAGGATATACCCTCGTGGAAATTGGAACTGGCATCCAATTCCTGAACAAAACCCAAAACCCACAGGTCATAAGAGATAAGATAGACAAGTGGGACCTCATAAAACTGACAAACTTCTGCAAAGCCAAAGGAACCATAAGGGGGAAGGGAGACAGCCCACAGACTGGGAAAAAGTATTCACCAACTCCAGGTCCGACAAAGGCTTAACATCTTGGATCTACAAAGAACTCAAACGTGCTGAAAAGAAAAAAACAAACAACCCCATTATAAAATGGACAAAAGATATGAACAGACCTTCTCAAAGGAAGAATCTGAGCCACCAACAGACACATGAAGAAATGTTCAGCCTCACTAACCATCAAGGAGATACAAATCAAAACCACACTGAGATACCACCTAACTCCAGTCAGAATGGCAATTATAAATAACTCAAAAAATAACAGTTGCGAGAGAGGGTGTGGTGAAAAGGGAACACTCCTACACGGTTGGTGGGAGTGCAAACTGGTGCAACCTCTGTGGAAAACAGTGTGGTGATTCCTAAAAGCTCTAAAAATCAACCTCCCATATGACCCCGCAATCCCCCTCCTGGGAATATACCCTGAAGAACTCAAATCACTCTATAAAAAAGATACCTGCACACGTATGTTTATCGCAGCATTGTTCACAATAACAAGAACCTGGTATCAACCATACTGTCCATCAAAAAAGGACTGGATTAAAAAAAATGTGGTCCATATACACGATGGAATACCACGCAGCCATAAAAAAGAACAAAATCATGAACTTCGCAGCAACCTGGATGGAACTAGAGTCAATAATACTGAGTGACCTCTCACAGAATCAAAGATCTGAGTATCACATATTCTCACTCATATAGCAGACTTTGAACATCCATCGTAATACTATAAAAAAAGAACTGACAGTGGTGGGAAACTATGGGAGTGAGGGGAATGCAGGTGGGATTAACGGTAGTCAATATCTGTCTGGAGACAGGGAGACACCCCTTATCAACAAGGGTACCTGTATGAAGCATATTTGTATACCTAACCCTTAACTGTACCCCACAATATCAAAATAAAAAATATTGATATATTAAAAAAAAACAAATGATAGGATTTTTCCCTTTTTAAGGCTGCATAGTATTCTACTGTATTTATATACCACATTTTCTTTATCCATTCATTCATGGATGATGCTTAGGTTGTTTCCATATCTTGCCTATTATGAATGATGCAGCGGTATGTACAAGCTTGCAGATATCTCTTCAATATACTGATTTCAGTTCTTTTGGGTATATACTCAGAAATAGAATTGCTGGATCATATGGTAAATCTAATTTTAGTTCTCTAGGGAAACTCCATACTGTTTTCCATAATGGTTAAGCTAATGTGCATGTCCATAAGCAGTGTACAAATGTTCTCTTTTTCCGCATCCTAGTCAATACATGGTCTTTCCTCTTTTTAATAATGGCTATTCTATTCTAATTCTTGTATCTTCTATATAATGAGGTGAATTTAGATGCCAAAAAAAATGAATGTCTTGTTCTTATGTGTGTCTTTGTCTTCATTTCAGAAAAGGGTCTATAGTTTTAACAAAATAAGTTCAGCACATAAATCACCATGGTACCTAGAGAGAGGCAGATGCTCACAAGGATCCACTGCTGATCTAGTAGAAGAATGCCATTTGTTGGTTTTGTGAAGGTTCGTAAGATGAAAATATATGAAAAAAATAAAGACTCTATTCGGGGGAAAGTGCTAAAGAGGATCATTCAAAATTAGAATCCTGAGCTTAGATTCAGATACTGTAAAGAAAAATACCTGCCAATCCAAAATATAAATTAACAACACTTTTATGGACTTTCTACTTCTTGTATCTAAAGACTGTTTCTCTAAAAGGATTTTTATGTTAAGACAAACTTTTTTCTCATTGACATCTTGTGTTGACTCTGTCACTGACTACAGGTTCTTAGGTTTTCAAGTAATAGAAATTGACATGAGGCCAAACTGATTCCCAAACAAGGCTTTACTGGGGGCTTGTACAAGAGAGACAGCTTGTACAACTGGACACTCTCTGGTTCTTGTGCACTTGGGAGAGAGGAGCAGGCAGGGGGCTATCCTTTCAAATGAGATGTAGGATGAAACATTATTTTAGCAGGTGTTTCAAGGTTGTGATCTGTAGGATGGCTCCAGCTGGAGTGTTATTGCAAAGTCTGGTGCTTAAAGTATGTGAAAGAGGTTGAGTCATATGCCTGCTTTGTCTCAACTTTACAAAGGTAAATCACACAGTGATATTTAAGTTTGTTATACTGTGGATTACTAAGAGCAGGCAATTGTATTTTCTTACCCTGATCTTATCTTTTAAATTATGTACCCTCTTGGGAATTGTTATAGTCAGAACAATTGTTTATTCTTTTGGACTTCACACTCCATCTATGTTTTTTTTCCTTGAAAAATATCTTTATGTTTGACATGAGTTTGTCTTCAGTGATTGCTTTACCCTCACAACAGAGACAGGCATCTATTTTTAGAGCTCTTCTGCCCATGTTTTTTCTTCTCTCTCTGTCTAAGCCACCTGAGATTTTCTTGTATGCAGTGATACAGTGCCACCTGTCTGCTGCCATTGGCTATCCACTGCAATATATACTCACCATGACCCACAAGCTGTTATACTGCTCACTATAGTGCACACAACTAGCTGAGGCCGACTTTACAGGTGGCAAAAGAATTCACCATGACAGTTGTAAATTAGGAAAGGTAGATTTACTAAAAGGAGACTATGTTGCAAGGAAGCAATGGGCAGTACAGTGAAGGGAGGCTGTCTGTTGTCTGCAAGGAGGCAGGGGCTAGAGGGAAGTTTCATAGGACTGTGCTGGGGAATTTACATGCTGTGTGAGGGGTCTGGAGAGGGAAGTTGTGTGTGTGTTGTGCCAGGGTTCTGCAAGATGGTTGATTGTGGTGATCTGTTCCTTAAGATAGGGTTAATTTACAGCAATGATTAATTGCTTTTCTATTTACAGCGGTCAGTTGAGGGTGAGTTTACAACAATGATTTATAGTGGTCAGCAAGTTTTTATAACTTTTACCGTGGTAAGTTTCTTGTAAATTTCACCTTGAAGCCCCTTTTCTCGGTATAATTTATCCAATTGTTGCTGGCCTATTTGGGCCTCCTATTTCTCCACACTCAGTACAGGGACCTGGAGAGGCTGTTGACTACATGTTATTTTATAGTTACCCTAATACAGTGTCAAAGAGGTTCTTGCTATCATTTCTATAGCATTCCTGAAGTTAATCTGTGACCTACACAAATATACTTTAAGCCCAGAGGGTAGGTTTCTTAATGTCACCCCCACCTTCTTTCTCCATCATTTCTATCTTATAACTGCAATGAAACTATGTACCAAAAATTACCTCAGCAGAGGACATGTGTGGAGTTATTTAAAACTGCATTGCCCACAGAACTGCAGCTCTTTGTGGCCATGAACAGAATCTCAGATCCAGAGCCTTCTATAGTTTTGTGATTCAGCGACTGAATTTGTGTGACCCTCTTGTTAAGCTTCCTGATTTCTAGCCTGAGAAGCAAAGTTGTGAAATAAGCTCCAAATAAAATATTTACAGGACAAACTTTATTCATGAAAATTAATGAGGCTTGCTCTTACCTGCCTGCCCGCTCCCTTGCTTGCTCGCACTTTCGCTCACCCTGTCCTCGAGGATCGAGGCGGCTCTGACCACAGCCAGTGGTCGGGAAGGGAGACAGAGGCGGCGGCTCAGGAAAAACGAGGCTGCAGCAGTGGTGGTAGGAAAATGTCGGACGAGGAGCAGCAGGAGCAAACTATCAATCTGGTTGTGACCAAGTATAAGATGGGGGACGACATAGCCAAACGGGTACTTCGGTCCTTGGTAGAAGCATCCAGCTCAGGTGTGTCGGTACTGAGCCTGTGTGAGAAAGGTGATGCCATGATTATGGAAGAGACAGGGAAAATCTTCTAGAAAGAAAAGGAAATGAAGAAAGGTATTGCTTTTCCCACCAGCATTTCAGTAAATAACTGTGTATGTCACTTCTCCCCTTTGAAGAGCGACCAGGACTATATTCTCAAGGAAGGTGACTTGGTAAAAATTGACCTTGGAGTCCACATGGATGGCTTCATCACTAATGTAGCTCACACATTCGTGGTCGGTGTGGCTCAGGGGACCCAGGTAACAGGGCGGAAAGCAGATGTCATTAAGGCAGCTCACCTTTGTGCTGAAGCTGCCCTCCGCTTGGTCAAACCTGGAAACCAGAACATACAAGTGACAGAATCCTGGAACAAAGTTGCTCACTCATTTAATTGCACGCCAACAGAAGGTATGCTGTCACACCAGCTGAAGCAGCATGTCACTGATGGAGAGAAGACCATTATCCAGAATCCCACAGACCAGCAGAAGAAGGACCACGAAAAGGCTGAATTTGAGGTACATGAAGTAGATGCTGTGGATGTCCTGGTCAGCTCAGGAGAGGGCAAGACCAAGGATGCAGGGCAGAGGACTACTATTTACAAACGAGACCCCACTAAACAGTATGGACTGAAAATGAAAACTTCCAGTGCCTTCTTCAGTGAGGTGGAAAGGTGTTTTGATGCCATGTCATTTACTTTAAGGGCATTTGACGATGAGAAGAAGGCTTGGATGGGTGTGGTGGAGTGCACCAAACATGAACTGTTGCAACCATTTAATGTTCTCTATGAGAAGGAAGGTGAATTTGTAACCCAGTTTAAATTTACAGTTCTGCTCATGCCCAACGACCCCATGCGGATAACCAGTGGTCCCTCTGAGCCTGAACTCTACAAGTTTGAGATGGAGGTCCAGGATGCAGAGCTGAAGGCCTGCAGAGTTCTGCAAGTCGGAAAACTCAGAAAAAGAAAAAAAAGAAGGCCTCCAAGACTGCAGAGAATGCCACCAGTGGGGAGACATTGGAAGAAAATGAAGCTGGGGACTGAGGTGGGTCCCATCTCCCCAGCTTGCTGCTCCTGCCTCCTCCCTTTCCCACCACACCCCAGGCTCTGTGAAGTGCAGTTCGTCTTCTCCACCCAGGACCGCCAGCAGAGCGGGGTCTCCCTGCCACCATCCCAGTTCCCCACCCATCCCCTTCCAACAACAACCAGCTCCAACTGACTCTGGTCTTGGGAGGCAGGGCTTCCCAACCACAGAAGACTACTTTAAATGAAAAAAGAAATTGAATAATAAAATCAGGAGTCAAAAATCCATCGTCTTCAAGCCCCTCTTTCTAGCCTTTTCTACAGCTCTCTGCTTGTTCAAGGTTTGTGGCCCCACTACAGAATAGGAAGGAGGCTAAATTAGCCGCCACCACTAAAAACTCAGCTGAAATTTTTATACCACTCTGATATCAGCATTTTCCCATCTGTTGGGGCTTTTTCCTCTCTTCCTATTCCTCCCAGGTATTTTTTTCTGGCCTCAAAATTAAGAGGGGCTGTTCTTCAGGTTTTTTTAAATTCTCATATGACAAATTTCTCATCTGATTCAGGCTGTCTAGTCAGGCCCCTCCCATTTTAGGAGCAGGAGCCTCCATATACGAAGAGATTCTCGTCTGTCAAATGGATCATTTGTAAATCTTTTTTTTTTTCCATTTTCACAAAGCTATAAAGAAGTAATCCACTGCAACCTTGTCCTTTTCTGTGGAGTCAGTGGGGTCTTCCCTCGCTCCTCCATCTTAAACAAATCTGAACTGGAAGCTCAACTGTGGTTTTGTTCCCTGTTTGAAATATTGTGAACTCCCTCCCTTGAAAGAAAAACCAGGAACCAGAAGAGTAGACTGGCTGAAGAGACAACTCCTGGCTTTCTGAAGCTATGAACTTGGATTGGATTGCTGGGGGCTTATAGAGAAAGGTGACAAATTTCAGCACCTCTGGCATGCTGTCCCAGGGAACTAGGGCTCAAACTAACTTATGAGGTTTTTAAACACATTAAAAATGAGATGGCATTAAAATAAATTTGGATTTGCTCATAAAAAAAAAGAAAATTAATGAGAAAATTCAGAACTTCTAGAGGAATCTTAAATATTCTTTTCTTAGCAGCTTTCAGAAAACTGTGCTTTCAGAATATTCTTTTCTTAGCAGTTTTCAGAAAACTGTGCTTTTAAATAGTATCATTAAATAAATATCTTTGACTTAATTCCTAAATCCTGTACCCAGTGTGAAAATTTGCTAGTACCATGCTTTAAAAAGAAATATAACTTATTATGTGCATAGATGATATTCAATTGCCATTTATAATTTAATTTGCCTGCAAACTAAACAATTTTTGACACTTTTTATTTCTATAGAAAAACCATTGGAGGAGAGCCTATATCACTACAAAACACTCACTAAAGCTCATTATCTCTCCTACGTTAGAACACTAAATTGCAAACTTTTTTTTAAAGAAACATTACTAAAAATAAAACATTTCCCAATTCCTTATACATGAAGAAAAAGTTAGGGAGAGTTTCTGAATAAGGCTGCTTCCCTTTTTGGAATAAAGCTAAATTATATAGAGAAAAAATTCACCTCTATTGGCATAATAGTATCTCTTTATGCTCATATGGTAAGAATTATCTTAGATTATCTTCTACCCAGTTCTTTGCTAATAAGAGCAAAATTTTAAAATATCATTTAAAGAAAACATTGGGATCTTTTTAGGCTATTTGTGTGCATATTTTAATGCATGCTGACTTTTATTACTAAAAAGTTGCTCACTGGTGCCTGAAGATTTAATTATGTACATTCAACGCATCCAGTTATGCTTTGAAAGGCATATAAATCACTGTTAAACCTGTTGCTTATTTTTATGTACAATAAAGAGGCAGAATTGAAAGGGAGAATGCAGAAAAGAAATTGATAGTGGTCTGTTTAATAATGCAAAATGCTGACTCCATTGTGAGAGAGACAATCTTGTAAATTATCACAGTTTAAATATATATGTATTTCTTCTCATCAGTATCAGCTGTACTGATTCTGATAATTAATGTTTTCCCATAGGAGATTTGTAAGGCTAAACAGGTAGTTTATAGATACAGAGATAAGGAGATAGAAATATTTAAAACAAACTGGTGGAGGTAGTACTGCTAAAGATGGTTGATGAATGTTGGGGTGAGACCCATTCCAACAAGTAGGGATTAGGCTTTCTAGAAATTTGGTGACTAGTTTTGTTATAGGAAAAATTTTCAGAATTATATGGACATAAAAAAATGAAGCAAGATTAAGATCTGGGACTATTTAAAAGGAGAAGACGTTAAACCTCTGCAAAAGGTTTAACTTCTTGGGTGAACATATCTTGTTCTGTGAGAAAAACTAATACTGACATGTTTATTTTATATATTACAATTCTGTTTATCCCACCCATTAATACATCTGATACTGAAACCAAAGGTTAATCTTTTTAGTCATTTTCTCCTTGTTGAACTTTTCTTCGTGTTGATTTTCTTTTTCTCTTTCTTTCTTTCTTTCTTTCTTTCTTTTTCTTTCTTTTTCTTTCTTTCTTTCTTTCTTTCTTTCTTTCTTTCTTTCGCCCACATAGCTGAAAGCCATGCTGCTACAGGCTATGTCTTAGACTTTACTGTTTACTAGCCTCCATATTATAAACAACATCTCAGGCATATATGTCACCATGGTGACAATTGCTTAAATTGTTTTTCAGGATCTTGGGGGCAGCACTTGTCCAGCATGATCTGGTTGAGACCACTGACCCTTCAACTGGGCCAAGAGGTGACCTTTGGATGCCAGAGAATCAAAAACTTTTCTCTCAGATCATCCTAATGCTGCCATTTTCTGAACATGTATCCTATGAAGAGCCATGAGCCCTGACTACCCTTGCATGGATCACCAAATAATTCATTTTCCCCATAGCCAGTTGTTTTTCCTAAGCCCTATCATCAGGGAGATGGCTTTGAGAGCTGTTTTCTTGTCTCCTTACTGAGATGCCCTGTGAATAAATCTTTTCTCTTTTGCAAAACCTGTCATTACAGGGATTGGCTTACTACACACAGGTAGGATAAGCCTGATTTGGTGTCAGCATATCTTCACAACCTGTGAGTGATACTGTAAATAATAAAATAAAATAAACAGGAAGAGGAAGTATGACCTGTCACTAGAAAGAAGGGCCTTATCAAAATAAAATGCATATTTTGGAAGAACAATATAGAATATTTAAATATATTAAATAAAAGACTTTATTATTCTTAAGCCACCCTACATATCAAAATAAAGAACTGACTCTTTGACTTAAAAAAAAAAAAAAGAAAGAAGGGCCTCAACCAGACTATTCAACTCCCTAGGAGGCTCAGAGATTTCCAAACAGATTGTATTGCTACTTGAAAATTGTACTGAACTGATCATTAATGAGGCATGTATTTAAGGTTTTTAGGTTCTGTGCAATGATCAGAGGATTCTCAGAGCAACTGAACTTAGTTGCTGAGATTCTTTATTATACTATATCATTAATGCGATCCAGCTACAGCAAGAGCAGGTCCATGCCCGTGAAGGATCTTCATGATTAGCAAAAGATGCCAGCTTCAGCTTCCTTGTGCTGAAGAATCCTCATATACCTGCCTCACTTTTCCAAACAAGCATGGTCCGTGAAGTAGTGGGACCTGGGCAATTTTATGAATTCTATGAAGAGTAGATATGCCCTGCAGCTATGCTTTTTATCCTGTATCCATGTCTTAAGCTTAAGAACATCCTGTGAGTTGGTTTATCAACTGTGATGTCCTTAGAGTTCCAGTGATGGCACCTTACTCACATTCTATCCTCCATAGACACTCATGTTGAAAGAGGAGTAACACCTCTCCATGGAATTCTGTCCAGGAGTTCAGGTGTTTCAATGCTCAGAGAGCTGTAACAGAGTTCTGCTGGAAGGACACACAATAGTAAGGGCACAGCTTCCAGGGAGATAACTGAGAAAAAACATTAGATAAACTCTTCTCTTTTTCAATACTTGCCTAGAGAAGACAACCAAACAAGGGAGATGGAAGGTTAATGCTTGGGTTAGGCTGTGGTATAAGGAATGCAGAGCTACACAGTGAAAGAACGTCAGGATTAGACTTTCTATGTTCTTGTTCTCTCTCTGTCTTCCTATCACCCAATCAAAAGAGTAGAGTTTATCAGTGGAAACTAGATTGACTCTATTTAAGGAAGGATAAAAAATAAGATACTGTTAATGACAGTAATTGGGCCAAAAGTAACAAATCGCCAAAGAACTCTTAATTATTCTAGCAAAATCCATATAGAAACAAAATATCCAAATGGACAGTCATAAACAAAAACTTACCCAATCATAAATGGCATCAAGAGGACTAAGAGTCCTTAGAGATAAATGATAATAAGATGGAAAGTGAGATATATCGTGGCAAATATCGAATGTTGCATTGAAATGTGGAACTATTTTCTCTTATCTCATTAAGACACACATCACATTAACTCACAGTTATGTTATGAAACTCTCTTGTTATGTTTTCCAATGGTCTGTTCCTGGAGACCTTCACTGGCTTCTGGTTCGGTAATATTCTTGTGTGCACTCTTTATTCTGACATTGCTTACTACACATCCATTTTAATTATTTAAAGGACATATAAAATCTGTCTGCTCTCTACTTTTATTCATAACTCTCACTTTTTACTATTGTCATCTAGACTTTGTTTTATTTGGGTAGAGTGTATGAAAAAGATACACATTTCCCAGTGTATTTATGTTCAAGTGAGTCATACCTGTCACCTTCTTTTAATTCCAAAGAGTTTGCCACTTGTCATTGCAGGATGTTAGAAAAAGCAAAAGTATCAAAATCTTCTGAAACTACTGTATTTAAAAAAATAGGGTGTGTGATTCTTAAAAAAAAAGAGTAAGTATACACTGAAACGTATCTCTTTTTCTAAGCACAGATAAATTATAGGAAAAAAATGTAATAAATATATAGTAAAACAAGAAAGAAGAGTTATATATTATGATGTTGTTGTTTATATGCACACGTGTGTGTATATACAGATTGGGTTTTGCTCATAGTTTCTGACTCACAACTTCCATAGCACTTGTTACATTATTTAGGGTACTTCAGGCCTCAGGAAACAGAATCTCTCTCTCTGACTTTCCCTTGACCTTTCACCAACCCAAGGCAGAACTCTAATCTTCCTCTGTCCTTCTGATTATTAGTCATAAAACGCTCATTCCAGAAAGGGTTCTGCCCACACACTGGAGGAAGGAATGCTACACTAAGAG